TCGGAATATAGTTGACTAATCGAATATTTGGTATGAGAGTTCGAGTGACGGATAGTATGATCTGGACGATGCCGGGTGGACGAGTCACAACAATGATGCACAGCATCAACAAGCACGATGGAAGTTCGTTGCTATTCACAGGTCTCCTAGCTTTACCATAAATATTGTAAACATGAAACCGATAAAACTACTGTACCATATCTAAAATATTGACATTGAATTTTGATTTTTAAGAAGTGGTTATATGCCATAAAACATCATCTTTCATAAATATCATGTAAACCGCCTTTCCTGCAATAATTTCATGTCTTGTCTTGTTTCAAGTAGTTAAAATATTGTAGAAACCATATTGTGTTATAATCATCTAAGTACACCTTATGTTATTTATAAATATGTTGAATTGTTTGACACATTTGTTTGTTTTAAATTTTTGGTGATATATTCTAAAATTAACTAGACAATGTTACCGAGGTCTCTTTTAGTCTGTCATTGTAAGTGAGTGTAAAATCTCACTCACTATATATATGCAATGTCATATACTTGAGAACACGTCACACATCCCTCAATACCCAGCATCTTGGTAGCATTTCATATCTTGTTTTCCGTTCTTTTAACGCGATTCGAGGGCTCCAAACACGTGGCTTCATTATTTCGTTGACGTTCGCCAAAGTTTCGCCTATTGTAAGAAGGTGCCAGGAGCTGCAAGCGTGTGGCTGTTCCCAACACGAATGGCCTACGACAAAGAAAGCCAATTGGCTATGCCAGATCATATATTCTGTTGGACTAAGTATACCAACGGAGTTTCCTAAGACGAATTGGAACAATATCTTGTCAGTCCTTATAATTATAATAATAGCCATTTATATAGCGCTTTTCCACGTCACAGGGATATGCTCAAAGCGCTTCCTGAGCTCAAGTTAAAACCATATACAGTTGGCAGGTACGGATGATTGGAAGTCACTTGTAGCGAAGAAATAGATGAGTCTTTAGTCGTGTTTTGAATGTACTTAGGGAAGGAGATGATTTTAACTCGATAGGGAGAGAGTTCCACAGAGAAGCTGCTGCATATGAAAAGGTCCTTGAGCAAAATGATTTGAGATTGTAGCTCGGGACAGCAAGTAACAGTTGTTGTGATGAGCGCAGGGTTCTTTCTGGAGAGTAATGTGTCAGAAGGTCTTGAAGGTAGGAAGGTCCTGAGTTGTAGAAAGACTGGTAGGTGAGGCAGAGAATCTTGAAATCAATCCTTTCACGAATACGGAGCCAGTGTAGAAAGTTTAGGATGGGAGAGATGTGACAGCGAGGACTGGTGAGAGTGATGATGCGTGCAGCTTTGTTCTGGATTTTCCTTCAAGAATGAGTGTGCTGGGCAGTGAGTCAGAAACATAAGGTGATATCCCACGTAATCAGAATTTTATCATTTCACGTAAATTGTTGATAGATTTATAACTTGCTTTAGTCACGATATGGCTGAAATATTGCCGATGTGACTTAAAATTTTAACTCACTCACTCACATGGGCAAAATGTGTTAAGCCCATATCTGGTGTCCCCCGCCGTGATATTGCTGGAATATTGCTAAAAGCGGCGTAAAACTAAACTCAGTCAGTCTACACCTTAGTAGTTAATCGGGGACATTTCTTTGTGCCAGTATTCAATGGCGTTAATATACTGAACATCACTAAAAACGCACCAGTCTAAAATTATCCATATTTTCATCAAGATGGAATTCAGCATGACAATGATCAATGACTATGACTAACATGAAGCCGAAGGGCATGTCTAGTTGACAAAATGCTTTAGAAACAAATTCATGTTCACAGTATGACTCTTTATTTCAAAACGCATCAACCTGCAGCCACTCCATGAAAAAAAGCGCGAATTTCAGTCTGAAATCATGCTGACTGTGATATTAAAAGCAGGTGTATAAGAAACGATTCCCATTGCTTCACTAACGATTGTGAAACGAGGACAGAGATGCCGAGGTTAACACCTCACGGAAGAGAACGTGCACTAGGCATGTTTCTGGGCAATATCCAGCAGCAGGGATATTGCTCGACAACTTTGGACTTGGCCACTCCACCATCGTTGGGCTTCATACACGACATCCGTGACCTTCAACGACCTTGGCAACAACGTGCCACGACCTCCCGTCAGGATCGCCATATTGACCTTGACCATACCGTGATCAAAGACTGTCGACTGCCAGGACTGCTGCACTGCTGGATTAGGTGCCTGACTGAGGGTGTGGGTTCAAGTCAACAAAAGTGCTAATATCAGTACTTTGCTGAGAAAGTGTAATCCCAAATATAACATGTGTTACATTTGACCACTTTCTAAAATGGCATTGCGAATAAATAATCTATAGACGCCGCCCACAAGTCACACCGATGAGTTCGAACTAAACACCTCTGACACAGGTTGACTATTTTAATAAACAGTATATAAGTGTTAGTGCTACCAGCTGCAGTTCTGTGACATTGAGATGTGTATACTTTTATATTATTCCCAAGTAACTAAAAGGAAGAAATGTGCCCAGACTGCAATGTAACAGAGTCGTAACCAAAAATGTTTACATATCAAGAGTACTATGAACCCTTACAATGAAGAGTTATACAATGACTGCAGAATTCATCGGTGTAATACCTTGAATCTTTAGCTGTATGGTTTTAGAATTTTGAAACTGAATTTTCTATGTAAATACCGAAAAGGTATTGTACTTTACATTAAAATTGTGTGCAATTTGGTGAATTAGTGCAAACATCATTCCTGAGATAAAGAGCTGTGTATATTTCCATTTTCGAGAATGTACGTTGCTTTATTGATCTCGCTTCGCCCCTGTACAATGAGAGTATGCTACGTGGTATCCTTACAACTGCTTCATACGTCATCCTTGGTTGTCTGATCAGCAGTCGTGTATTTGTCTTCAGTTGCCTGTAGTCGGCAGTTGTGTATCCAGTGATCCTCTGTGAACACTTGATCATGAAATCTGTGTGCTCAGGGGTCTTCCGGGAGCTGCTCCTGTTCTCGGCAGTTGTATTATCAGATGTTGCATTGCCCGTGTCCAGCATGAAGGAATGCAAAGAACAAAAGGCACAGGAGGAGAGTCCTGTTGTTATCAGGAACATTGGCATCAAGATGTGCCAAGTGAGATGTATTGAAACTGGTGGCTGTTTGAGATTCGAATTCGATATTGAGACTTTAACTTGTCGTCTAAGACTCGGTGATTCGAGTGGACTAGAGAAGAAGGAAGGATTCCAAACTCATCTGAAGACACATTCAGACGTAAGTTGGAGGTATCTGTTAGTATGTATATGTAACCCTATCAAAATAAATAGGTGATTGTATGATTTTGTTTGAATTCCAATTAGGGATTTTGGTAAGGCATAATCATTTATTGAATCATGTCCTGTGAGCCTTCCACATAATCTGTGAACGTGAAGCAATTACTGGCAATATATGTCCTTAGACGATAATGAATTTGAAGGCAAATACACATGGTAATGCTTATGACCAAGTAGAAGTACTACCCATACCAATGAATGGACGTGATAAGTGCTCGAGCTGTTCCACTATTCACATCGAGTGAGTTGATATTTACAGCTCTTTAGGCGATATTTCATTCTTAAAACAATTATGCCCCAATGTGTTGTGGTGACCAACCACATCACCCACATATGTGAAATTTTGGACATGGCTTTGATTCCTTCAAAGTACAAAAATGGAAGATTTTCAAACATTGGGCATCGATAATGTAGGCCGACTACCTTTTGACTGACCCTCGTATCACCAAGGAGAATACCAAGAAATGAGCTTCATGTGTTGAACCCTAGTGAATTCGAAATTCATACTAACTGTCGACAGTACATATAAAAGCAAGACATGCTTAAAACTGAATGATCAGTAAAGAGCTCACAATGAATTCATGGGAGGGGACATAAATGGCCACGCGCAGTCGTTCATGGTTCTTTCACTTCTGTCTGAAGGTAACCCCTGGTCCCTGCAGTAGCACGTCATGCAGTCTCGGTGATAGATGTTTGGAGAGCCGATATGGAAAGCCTGTCTGTGTGAAAGGTAACTGCCTCCTGATACTTTCCGATTGGTTACCATATGCTGGTTTTATTTTAGAGCAGGAGTCTTACCATGTTACAGACTCATGTATAGAAGTGTGGCTAGTGTATATCATGGGTGTATGATAGGACTGGGCCAAATTATGATTTATTGTCTTGGGACTGTCTGACTGAGTTTGGTTTTTTACGCCGCTTTTAGCAATATTCCAGCAACATCACGGCGGGGGACACCAGAAATGGGCTTCACACATTGCATCCATGTGGGGATTCGAACCCGGGTCTTCGGCGTGATGAGCCAACGCTTTAACCACTAGGCTACCCCACCGCCCCTGTTGTCTTGGGAACACATGGTTCTGGTCTAGAATAGGATCTAGAATAGGATTTCACAAGAAATACTCCCGATCCACGAATAGAAGTTTATACATTGTAAAAGGGGTTTAAGATATCTCTTGACGTCAGATTTCTTCACCAATTTCATTCATTATGTTGGGGATTTATTTTTAATTGTTTCGTCATTTCGGTATATATTCAAGGTATCTCAGTGGGCTAGCACTCTAAAACCAGCCTAAATCTGGGCTAGTACGAGCAGCCGCACATACACATACACACGCATGCAAGTCGTCATATGAGCGAAATATTCTCAAGCACGACGTTAAACACAATTTCGCCTCACCTCACCTCACATAAGAAAAACGATGCTATAAACAAATATATGCCCTCCCTTATGTCCTTTCATTAAACTACAGATGGAAGGACGCTTTATCCTCGGAGATCCCAACAACAGAGAAGAGAGATAAGAAGAGCGGATCAGGAGACAACCCACTCGCGTCTATGGGTACGAAGCCTGTAGAGAGGGTGACTTAAGTCGGGTGCGGACAATCATGTCTGAGGGTCAAGTCGACATTGACAGCAGAGAGGGGAGAGATTTCGCGGGATGACGCCAGTGATGTTGGCAGCACGAGGGGACATATTGGGAGGTGTGTTTGAGATTCTAGTCGGAAAAGATGTAATATGTCCCTTCTTGATAATAAAGGACCACAACAACATTCTTCATATGGCCTGCTATGGAGGACAAATTGCGATCGTGAAACGTGTTCTCTCGCTTGACATTGTGGACATCAACAGTAGGGGTCATATTGGGAGCACGTGTGTGATGGTTGCAGCAGCTAATGGACATAGAAAGGTGTTTGACTTAGTAATGTGTAAAGGAGGTGATGCTTCACTTGTGGACAAGAGTGGTGACAACATCCTACATTGGGTGTGTCGTGGAGGACACGTAGAGATGGTGAAGTATGTCATCTCACTGAACATTGTCGATATCAACAGCAGAGGATTTAACGGACGGACACCAATGATGGTTGCAGCAGCTAATGGACATAGCAAGGTGTTTGACTTAGCAATGAGTAAAGGAGGTGATGCTTCACTTGCGGACAAGAATGGTGACAACATGCTACATTGTGTGTGTCGTGGAGGAGACGTAGAGATGGTGAAGTATGTCATCTCACTGAACATTGTCGATATCAACAGCAGAGGATTTATCGGACGGACACCAATGATGGTTGCAGCAGCTAATGGACTGAACAGTAAAGGGAGGTGTGCTTCACTTGTGGACAAGATATGGTGACAACATATCAACAGCAGAGGATTTAACGGACGGACACCAATGATGGTTGCAGCAGCTAATGGAAGCTAATGGACATAGAAAGGTGTTTGGCTTAGCAAGGTGTTTGACTTAGCAATGAGTAAAGGAGGTGATGCTTCACTTGCGGACAAGAATGGTGACAACATGCTACATTGTGTGTGTCGTGGAGGAGACGTAGAGATGGTGAAGTATGTCATTTCACAAAACTTTGTCGATATCAACAGCAGAGGACATTACGGATGGACACCAATGATGGCTGCAGCAGCTAATGGACATAGAAAGGTGTTTGACTTAGTAATGAGTAAAGGAGGTGATGCTTCACTTGTGGACGAGAGTGGTGACAACATCTTACATTGGGTGTGTCGTATAGGAGACGTAGAGATGGTGAAGTATGTCATCTCACTGAACTTTGTCGATATCAACAGCAGAGGACATACCGGACGGACACCAATGATGGTTGCAGCAGCTAATGGACATAGAAAGGTGTTTGACTTAGCAATGAGTAAAGGAGGTGATGCTTCACTTGTGGACAAGAATGGTGACAACATCCTACATTGTTTGTGTCGTGGAGGAGACGTAGAGATGGTGAAATATGTCATCTCACTGAACTTTGTCGATATCAACAGCAGAGGACATGTCGGACGGACACCAATGATGGTTGCAGCAGCTAATGGACATAGAAAGGTGTTTGACTTAGTAATGAGTAAAGGAGGTGATGACAAGAATGGTTCTACATTGTGGACTTGAAGGATACGTAGAGATGGTGTAAATATGCCTCACAGAACTTTTCGATATCTAGCATCTCGGACGGACACCAATGATGGCTGCAGCAGCTAATGGACATAGAAAGGTGTTTGACTTAGTAATGAGTAAAGGAGGTGATGCTTCACTTGTGGACGTGAATGGTAACAACATCCTACATCTCGCCAGTTTGCAAGGACATGTGATGTTGGTGAAGCATATTCTTTCTAAAACTATTGTTGATGTTAATGCCAAAAATAAGTCTGGAGCTACAGCGGCAATGATTGTAAACAGAATAAAACACAAGGCAATGTATGACCTCCTAAAATCGTTAGGCTAATGGGGGCATTAACTGTCATTTAAACACGTTGCAAAGTGGTATTCTATAACTGATAAACAAATATCTTCCTCAGATGATTTATTTTGTCTCCAAAATGAAAACATCCTCTTTTGTAATAAATGGATTCCAGTAAATACCGCCAGTGTTTAAATAACTGTGCAAACAAAGACTCATACACTAGTCACTATCACTCAGCACTCTCACTTTCTATGCCAGCGGCATGATGAAAAGGCAAGTGCACTATCCCCACACTTTGTCTCCAGTCTCCTAAACCATAAAGAACTAACAATGTCGGCTATCTCTCGCATCATTTTTGAAGCAGGCATCCATGCACCACACTTGCCAAATACATCATACTGCATCTGACAACATATCACAAACAGCAAACGATACGGCGACGGAGGATCCTATTCTCATGGAGATGCACACCTCGTTTCAAACCCAAGAAATCACCATTCCCGCCAGATTCCCCCCGTCCCTTCAACACACCCACACAATCTTTGCCTTATTTTTCTTCTTCACCGTTATTACCGCAGTCTACTCGGCTAACAAAACCCCGAAAATTCCTTATTCAAACATCCAGCTGCAAAATAAAGGGCCTACCCTGGAAGCATTTAATGTCCACAAATCCATAAGACATATATGTATGAAGTCAACGTCTCATGCGATACACTGAACTGAAAAGTTACACACGAGGCGTAATTCGCGTAAGAACGCGCGAATCGCACCATTCCCACGAGCATTTTTCCAAGACGGCAAACGCGGATCGCGACCTATTTTCCCAACCTCAAACGAATCACATCAAGACAAAACGGAAAGTCCCATCCAACATAAACAGTAATCATAATGTTTGAAAAACAAAACCAAAACACCCAATATCGTAGATACCATGGTGTATGGCACTTCCAATTAACTAGCAGTAAAACCATTAATTAAACCTGTAGCCAAATGTCTGAAATATCACCGCACAGCAACATCCCATATTGGACTTGGCAAACAAGTGTCCACACACAACAAATATGCATATAAATATTGACATAGCTAATATCCAAACACACACCCCCGACACACCCCTCAAAAACAAACCACATCACATGTCCATACGACAAAATCGGTTTCGGACATTCCTTCCTATAACGCTCCCACATGGACTTCCCCTAAGCCACAAAATTCTTCAACACCACCAACACGGGAACCTCAACACCAACACGCAAAACAGCCCCAAACAATCAACCTAAACTTAGCCAAACCTTAACAGAATACCAAACAGAGCCCCAGGAGCTTGAAACATTCTGGATTCCACTTCAACGTCATGCATTTTAAGAACTGTGTTCTGAAAATATACCAGGCGTCAATAATAAAGGGTCAAATGATATATGGCACATGAGAGGAAATAATAGAACTAGGAGTGTCATCATAATGTTTAATGTGTTGACAAACGTGAGACATTGTGACACACAGAGGAAATTTCAAACAGCACTAGGAAACATCAGTTTTGACCGACTCGCATGGAACATCATATTTACAGTTCTCGCAAACACCTGGTGTTATCCGTACATTTAAGTAACACTTCCTTATTTTGACTTTTCACCAAATGGAATCTATTTTGTCTGGAAGTAAATACATGTTATGCATAAACATACACGCACGCCATCATCGACCGTGAGCCTATCCAAACTCAACATTGACATCGCCGACCCTCCAGGAGGCACGCCTCTCTTCCAGTGGCAGTCTCAAGGAGAAGGGCTACACGATCTTCTGGCCAGGACTGGAGCCAGAGGAGCGCCGACTTCACGGGGTCGGCTTCGCAGTCCGCAACCTGCTCCTACCATCAGTAGAGCCTCATTCTCAAGGGACCGCACGCATCCTCTCACTCCGCCTCACGACCTCCTCGGGACCCACAAACATCTTTAGCATCTACGCCCCACACTCTACTCCAAAGCTGATGCCAAAGACGCGTTCTACAACGAGCTTGAGGCCAGGGTCAGGAGAATTTCCACAAAAAGACCTGATCCCGCTCGGAGACTTCAATGCCCAGGATGGCGCAGACTACACGCTGCATTGGTCACTTTGGCGTTGGCAGGCTCAACGAGAACGGACAGCGGCTACTTGAGCGCTGCTCCTACCATAACCTGTGTATCACCAACACCTCCTTTCCACCAAGCCCCACCACAGAGTGTCTTGGAGGCACCCCAGATCAAACACTGGCACGAACTGGACTTCGTCATCACCAGGAGATCCATGCTCAACCCACGTGCTTGTCACCGCACTTACCATAGTGCCAACTGCGACACTCATCACTCCCTGGTCAGCAGCAAGGTGCGCCTCCGCCCCAGACGAATCCAACGCTCCAAGCAAAAGGGCCGCCCTCGCATCGACACTGCCAGAACACTGATGCCAGAACTGCATGAATGCTTTGCTCAAGCCATCAATGAGGCACTGGAGGACTGCCCTACAGAGAGTGCTACGGTGCGATTAGAGTTCATCCGCGACACCATGTACAAGACTGCCTCCGACACCTTCAGGAAGAGAGCAAGGAAAAGCGAGGACTGTTCCGAGCCTGGGATCGAGGAGATGGAGCCTGCCATCACCGCCAACAGAGCCGCGCACCTCGAGTACTAAAGACAGCCCTCCGAGTCAACACTAGCTGCCTTTAGAAGCCCACAACAACGCCAAGAGGATCGCCCGCAAGTGCGCCAATGACTACAGGCTGAAGCTACGCAGCGACATCCAGTTCTCTGCGGACTGTGCAAACATCCATACCATGTACGAGGGCATTAAGAAATCATTTGGCTCCTGCGGCATCAACACCTCCCCCCTTAAATCCACCTCTGGTGACATCATCGCGGACCGTGGCAAGTGATTGTAACAACTATCGCGGGATCTCCCTCCTCAGCATCATGGGGAAAGCTTTCGCCTGAGTCGTCCTCAACCACCTCCAGCTGCTAGGCGACCAAGTGTACCCTGAGTCACAATGTGGATTTCGAGAGAAACGGTCAACGATCGACATGGTGTTCTCCTTCAGGCAGCAACAGGAGAAATGCCATGAACAGAGATGCTATGAACAGAGATGCCCCTTGTTCCTCGCCTTCATCGATCTGACCAAGGCATTCGACCTAGTCAGTCGAACAGACCTCTTCACCCTCCTACACAAGATTGGATGTCCCCACAAGCTCCTGAAGATGATCACATCCTTCCATGACGACATGGGAGGCACAGTCCAGTATGACGGATCATCCTCGGATCCCTTCCCAATCTAGAGTGGAGTGAAACAAGGGTGTGTCCTGGCCCCGACACTCTTTGGCGTGTTCTTCTTCCTACTCTTGCGTTATGCCTTCCGCGAGTCTGAAGATGGCATCTTCCTCCACACGAGGAGTGACGGGAACCTTTTAAACCTCTCCCGACTCAGAGCAAAGACAAAGGTTCGCAGGGTCCTCATATGAGAGATGCCCTTTGCAGATGATGCTGCCCTCAGTGCACACTCTGAGGAGGCCCTCCAGCGACGTATTCATGTGGCCACCATCTGGTCATCTACCAACGGATTCGTGGGCTCTTTTAGGTGCACAGGGTTGTACACTAGAGGTCGTGACACAACTGAAAGAGTCTGCACACAAAGTTGACTCCAAGGTTTTACGCCCGGCAACAGGCGGATCGATCCCAGCACCTCCAAGCTCCCTGGATCACCAGTCTGGCGCCTTGTGACAGCTCGCCCACCACGCCCCACTTATTTGACAAATGAATGTCAACATTGAATAAATGCATGCTCATCGTCTTTGAATGGCATTTAGAAGTGATACACATAAAGGGGTGAACATTCGTAGATGTCAACTTCTGTAACATGGAGGGACACGACGTTTCTGAGAATAATCCTACCCTTCATCAGGTGAAGAAAACAACGAAGCAAATCCCTATATGAGTACATGTGCAACAACAACAGTTATTAGATGACAATGGTGGGCACTCCAGCAAGGGAGGTCAGTAGTTACTTGATGCTGAATGGTAATAAAAGAGCAAGTAAAGCAAGCAGTTTTATGTCGAACAAACCGTGGATCATAACCAAATGTAGATAAGTTTTAACTCTGTCATGTTTCTGTTCGAAAATGATTTGTTTGAACGTTGACAGGTCCTCACTTTCAAAAACTATGCTATGGTTTGAGAAATTTACATTTACTGAAAAGCAAAACAACAAACACATGTAACAACAGTCCCCATCCCTCTCCAAACAAAAACAATTATTTTCCCAAACTCCTTGAATTTGATAAATGTGAAATACAGCATAAGACATGCATTTGAAACAAAGTGGTGATTGTGCTCTATAGACACGGTCTGATTATATTAGGGCAATGGATAGAAGTATGTCCAACAAAGGATATCTAACATTTTACAAGTATCGGTTTTTTTTCTTGTTGTAAAATCCATTATCAACAGACAAAACAGTGTTGCCTGCAGTGCTGACAAACCAACCCAACACATATTTCATGTAATATAAAATTTATCCTCGTGTCTTTGGTTTCATTAAAACAGTTTGATAAACAATTTGAGAAATGTTTTTGTCTTTCGTGCATAGACATGCATTACGAGCAAAGTGAAGACAATTTTCAGCCATATAAATGGTAAAATCAGTTATTTTATGTTCTCCAAAAGAGCTGTTAAGTTCTTACACAGA